GACGGGGAGGGATTGCATTGAATTACAGGAGCAAACACTTGCCCCTGGGAGGGAGAAAAAGAGCCACAGCGGAGAATAAACAGAAGGGCAACCATGGCAACCATGCGCGGGAAGTCTTCTTCGCTGCTTTTGTGGCAGACTACAGCGCCACTTACAGGCCTGGCATATGTACTACAGCGTCTGGCCCAACCCCACATTCCCCTGATGTGGTGGTTGCATTCTCCAGCCACCTTCCTTGTGTGTGTGTTTTCCCTTTCCCTGTCTGTGTGGGCGTGGTGCCTGTCACTCCTGGTTCCCGGCTCAAATCTCCACCAGCTGCAAACAGTTGAGCACTCTCCTCTGCGACACACCTGATTCCCATCAGCCTTTACGGATGGTATATCAGCGGAGGCTCCACAACCTGTCAGCGCCAGATCGTTGTTAAACCCCAGTGGTAAAACTCTTAGCCTTCTCAGCCTTCTTAAAGTATAGTGACTATTTTCGCTACACCTGAATATATTCTTACCTGTTCTTCTTGTGCTCCAGGATTACGCTTCAGTGGATTACGTTCCAGTGGATTAAAACTCCAGAGGATACTCTTCAGTGGATTACGCTCCAGTGGATACTCTCCAGCCGGATTATCTCCTCCAAATAAAACCTTTGTAACACACTGCCGTGTCCTGCGTTTGGGTTCTCTCAGATAACCGTAACAGAACGATCTGGCCAGTATGGACCCAGCGGACACCGGCTACCAGGCCAAAACTACGGACGAACTCGGCCAAGCCTTGGCCAGTCAAGGCGCTCTCGTGGGACATCATGATACAGTTCTCCGTGAGGCATTGGAGACTCTCCGGAACCTCTCCGTTAATGTGCAAAGGATCGGCACGCAGGTAGAACTGCTCACTTCACAGGCTTTTCCTCCGCAGAACGCTGCACAGCCGACAGCCCCTCCCCCCCCCTCCTGCCGCACTCCTCCATCAGCTACGAGAGGCTGTCATTCCCACACCTGAACGATACGCTGGAGATTTGGGTAATTGTAGAGCCTTTTTGTTCCAGTGTACGTTAGTTTTTGAGCAGCAGCCTAGTACTTATCACACAGATGGGGCTAGGGTAGCATATGTAATGAGCCTGTTGAGGGGAGGGCTTTAGATTGGGCTACAGCTGTTAGGGAGAGCCAGCCACACATTTGCTGGTCATATGATACTTTCATTTCCGAAATGAAAAAAGTTTTTGATCACCCGGTACGGGGGAGGGATGCTGCTAGGCGCCTTCTTTCTCTCCGGCAGGGCTCCCGTAGTGTAGCCGAATTTTCAGTGGAGTTTAGAACAGTGGCTTCCGACTCACGCTGGAATAACGAGTCACTACAGGATGCTTTTCTTCAGGGGCTGAACGAAGCAATTAAAGACGAGCTAGCGGCTAGGGATGATCCAGGTAGCTTGGATAATTTAATTGCCACAGCCATTAAGATTGATAATCGCCTCAGAGAGAGACGTAGGGATAGGACTAGCCGTCACTCCAATCCCAGCGACTTCTCACTTGATCCCCAAATTGGAACTGCCACTACCCCTATTCCCCGATCTTTCCCGACTCCTTACTCAGCCTCATCCCTTGGAGAGGAGCCCATGCGAGTGGGAAGGGCCCGCCTCTCACCATCTGAGCGTGCTAGAAGGATCCATGCTGGGGAATGTGTTTATTGCAGCCAAACCAGTCATCTCGTTTCCTCCTGTCCTAGTCTGCCAAAGGTCAGGCTCGTCAGTAGCTGTGGGGATTCTGGCGAGCCCTTCCTCCTCTCTCAACCCCCGACCAAGAACACAGCTAGAAGCCATGCTTTGCTGCAACCAACAGTCCCTACCCCTGCTCACCTTAGTGGACTCGGGGGCGGATGAGAATTTTTTGGACATTGACATTGCAGCTCAGGCAGGAATTTCCTGCGAAGTGTTAGATTCACCTCTTAGTGCTAATGCTCTAAATGGAAAATTCCTGGCCCAAGTCACTCACCGCACCAAGCCAGTAAACCTCATTCTGTCTGGAAACAGCGTGAGTTTATTCAGTTTCACCTAATTTCCTCACCTCAGGCCCCCATAGTGTTGGGCCATCCCTGGTTAAGAACTCACAACCCCCAGATTGATTGGGTAACTGGCAAAATTATTAGTTGGAGTTATTTTTGCTTATCCTCATGCCTGCAGTCTGCCCTACCGCCAGCAGAGGCCGCCTCTCCACCACTCAAGATCGAGCCGCCTGACCTGTCATCTGTTCCCACTGAATATCATAACCTAGGAGAGGTGTTCAGTAAACAGCGAGCTCTTTCTCTTCCTCCTCATCGACCCTACGACTGTCCCATTGACCTCCTTCCCGGGGCCCCTCTGCCTTCCTCACGTCTGTTCAACCCTGAGAGAAAATCCATGGAAAATTACATCCATGACTCCCTGGCTGCTGGTGTCATTCGGCCATCCTCCTCCACGGTCGGTGCTGGGTTTTTCTTCGTCTCCAAGAAGGACCGCTCACTGCGGCCCTGCATTGATTACAGGGGTCTCAATGCCATTACTGTAAAAAATAAATACCCACTAGCCCTCATTAACTCCGCCTTTGAACCCCTCCAGGAAGCCACCATTTTTTCCAAACTGGACCTCCGCAATGCCTACCACCTCGTCAGAATCCGAGAAGGGGACGAGTGGAAGACGGCCTTTAACACATCACTCGGTCACTTCGAGTATCTGGTGATGCCTTTTGGACTGACGAATGCCCCTGCAGTCTTTCAGTCAATGGTGAACGATGTGCTCCGTGACCTCCTCAACCGGTCAGTCTTTGTCTACCTGGATGACATCCTCATATTCTCTCGTAACAAGGAGGAGCACATTATCCATGTCAGGCAGGTGCTGCAGAGACTCCTGGATAACAGACTCTTTGTAAAGGCGGAGAAATGTGAATTCCATGTCAACACAGTCTCAGTCCTGGGCTACATCGTTGAGGAAGGAAAGCTTAGATCCGACCCTGAGAAGATCCAAGCGGTGGTGGGGTGGCCCAAACCAACCTCAGTCAAACTGCTTCAACAGTTTCTTGGTTTCGCCAATTTCTATCGGCGCTTCATCAGGGACTACAGCAGAGTGGCGGGTCCTTTAACCAGACTCACTTCCCCCACAACTGGCTTTTCCTGGACCCCAGAGTGCGATGCAGCCTTTTCAGAGCTAAAGAGACTCTTCACCACTGCCCCTGTGCTCATCCACCCTGATTCCTCTCGCCAGTTCGTTGTGGAGGTCGATGCCTCCAACACCGGGGTAGGAGCAGTTCTTTCCCAGCGCTCGGAACGAGACCAAAAATTGCATCCTTGTGCATTTTTCTCTCGCCGCCTCACCCCAGCTGAGAAGAACTATGACGTGGGTAACAGAGAGCTGCTGGCTGTCAAACTTGCCCTAGAGGAGTGGAGGCACTGGCTGGAGGGAGCTGAACTCCCTTTTATTGTATGGACGGACCACAAGAACCTGGCTTACATCCAATCTGCCAAGCGCCTTAACTCCCGTCAGGCTCGATGGGCCCTGTATTTCGGCCGCTTCTCATTCACCCTCACCTACCGTCCAGGGTCACGGAACCTCAAGCCTGACGCTCTCTCTCGCCAGTTCGCTTCCGATGGACCAGCTGCCAGTCCAGACACTATCCTGCCTGCCTCCTGCGTGGTGGGGGCTGTTACCTTGGAGATTGAGTCATTGGTCAGGGAGGCCCAGCGAGCGCAGCCTAGCCCAGGTAACTGCCCAGCTAATTGTCTTTTTGTGCCTACCCCTGTTCGCTCCAAGGTCCTGCAGTGGGCACACACCTCTCGTTTCTCATGTCATCCTGGTGTCCATCGCACACTGTTCATTCTCAAACAACGCTTCTGGTGGCCTTCCATGGCTCAAGACACCAGGGCCTTTGTTGCTGCCTGTACAGTGTGTGCCCGCGCCAAGTCCTCCCACCAGCCTCCCGCTGGCCTGCTTCGCCCACTGCCAGTACCTAGTCGCCCTTGGTCGCATGTGGCATTGGATTTTGTTACTGGACTTCCACTTTCACAAGGAAATACCATCATCCTAACTATTGTGGACAGATTCTCAAAGATGGTACACTTTGTGGCTCTTTCCAAACTTCCCACTGCCCGAGAGACTGCAGATCTTCTGGTCAACCATGAAGTTCGACTTCATGGGATCCCCACCGACATCGTCTCTGACCGGGGCCCCCAGTTCATTTCCCACGTTTGGAAGGCCTTCTGTCAGGCTCTGGGAGCATCGGTGAGCCTGTCATCTGGCTATCATCCTCAGACGAACGGGCAAACAGAACGGGCCAACCAGGATCTGGGGTCGGCCCTTCGTTGTGTGGCTTTCAAGAACCCTTCGTCATGGGTCCCACATCTGCCATGGATCGAGTATGCCCACAACTCCCTGCCAAGTGCAGCCACAGGTATTTCACCTTTTCATTGTGCCATGGGTTTCCAACCACCTCTGTTTCCAGCCCAGGAAGAGGAAGTTGCTGTTCCCTCCGTTCAGGCCCACCTTCGTCGCTGTCGTAAGGTGTGGAGGGACACCCGAGCAGCCCTGCTCCGCTCCGCTGCCCGCAACCGCCTCATCGCAGACCGCCACAGGACCCAGGCCCCCAACTACTTACCAGGTCAGAGTGTTTGGCTTTCGTCCAAAGATCTCCCACTCAAGACAGAGTCAAATAAACTTACCCCACGGTATGTCTGCCCCTTCATCATCGACTCCATTATTAATCCATCTGCAGTCAAACTCAAACTTCCCTCACACATGAAGGTTCATCCAACATTTCATGTATCTCTGTTGAAACCTGTTGCCAGCAGTCCTTTGTCTCCTCCAGTGAGTGTTCCCCCACCCCCCCGCATCATCAATAATCATCCAACCTACACCGTCAGGCGATTGTTGGACGTTCGTCGCCGTGGAAGGGGATTCCAATATCTGGTGGATTGGGAGGGCTATGGTTTAGAGGAGAGGTGTTGGGTTCCCCGGCGGGACATCGTGGGCGCATCTCTGATACGGGACTTCCACCGGGATAACCCTGGAAGACCTGGTAGACCGCCTGGAGGCGTCCCTTAAGGGGGGGGTACTGTGGTGGTTGCATTCTCCAGCCACCTTCCTTGTGTGTGTGTTTTCCCTTTCCCTGTCTGTGTGGGCGTGGTGCCTGTCACTCCTGGCTCCCGGCTCAAATCTCCACCAGCTGCAAACAGTTGAGCACTCTCCTCTGCGACACACCTGATTCCCATCAGCCATTACGGATGGTATATCAGCGGAGGCTCCACAACCTGTCAGCGCCAGATCGTTGTTAAACCCCAGTGGTAAAACTCTTAGCCTTCTCAGCCTTCTTAAAGTATAGTGACTATTTTCGCTACACCTGAATATATTCTTACCTGTTCTTCTTGTGCTCCAGGATTACGCTTCAGTGGATTACGTTCCAGTGGATTAAAACTCCGGAGGATACTCTTCAGTGGATTACGCTCCAGTGGATACTCTCCAGCCGGATTATCTCCTCCAAATAAAACCTTTGTAACACACTGCCGTGTCCTGCGTTTGGGTTCTCTCAGATAACCGTAACACCTGATAGGTGGAGAATTGACCACTAAGCGGAGCACCACTTCTGTGACGTAGAAAATAATTAAAATCTGGATCAGACTGTATCAGATCCGTTGCAGCCCCATTTTTAGAGATTTGGGTATGGAGGAAAAGATAGAGGGGTGTGTTTTCTGACACTTGGTGAGTTCCCTGGAACACCAGACACATATTCATGTATAAAAGACGTACAAAAGTGCATTTTGCATGATAGGTCACCTTTAAATTGACAAACATCATATGTGTAATTCGTGGCACAATTCAAACGGGATCGAAAGATAATCTTTCTCTCTCCATTGACTTCAATACATACTTTTTCCGAAATAAGGTCCCATGGAGGTCCACCGGAAGGGGAGGGACTTCACCACTCTATAATATCAAACATAATATTACTATTAACTTTATTGTGAAATTAAAACAGAACGGTAAAGAACAATACAATTTCAGTCTCTCGATTTGAAGCTTATGCATTGTACCATGAACCTGTATAGACCTGTAACAGTCAACTGCATGAGGAGTTGGAAAGGTAGTTTCTGAAGATGTTACAAATAACACACAGCATACAATGCCATAATAACTTTGTATTATTAGTGTAGGACACTTATGTGTGTATAACATCTGAAGATGTGTAGTTTTATTCATGTTTTCACATAATTGTACAAGATATTGCTACAGTATAATATTTCACATATTGTAGTTCTATAGAACTAAATTAATAAAAGGGTGAAATATTATAGCTGATAATGTATATATACATATATAAATATATATATATATATATAATGTAATATATCTGATTTGTAAAACATCACAGACAGAAAGGTATATCCGTCATTTAATGGTAAGCTATTGAAATTCTGATTCCATAGATGTGTCTCCCATCACCCAAAACCCCTGACTATTCTCTCAACTCAGTATTTACATTCTTTAATTCAAAGAAAATCAGTAATATCTTTAAAAACGTCCCTTTCTATCAGCTGTGCACCATTATGGTGTAAATACAGCCTATCTACCAATTGGATCAATTATAAAAGTCAGCCGAATTAGTGTTGATACTGCAAGGAGACGTATTGTGTGAAAATAAATAGAAGATGTTGTGATATATTTATGATCCACGTCACGTATTCAGTTTCGGAGGCAGTTCTTCCAGTTCGTCCAAAGGTCTTCTAATCAGGGCTCTATAAATAGAGAACTACGGCAGATGTGTAATATTTAATGCAGCCGAACCGTGTATTACAATGCCTCTAGCTATGTGATTACTTCCAAAGAGAAAAGCAAGAACACTCGGAATAAATTATTATTATTTTTTTTTAAAAAATGTTTTCGGATTTCATATCGCATAAACACCATATCCCAACGTGCATTGTGGCTAAAACATCCAATCACCAAGCTTGAACGGTAGCTGAGGATTATGGGTAGGTAGATGTTTTAGCCTATCAAAACCTCTGAAAAAAGAAATGTTACCCTCAGAATCGAAAGGGAAAAACCATATGGGAAAAACACAAAAGCATTGTACACAATTTAAACCAATTAATGTTGTGTAATTAACAAGGATAAACTGATGTTTTTAGTGGATGAGTACTGCAGATATAGCTTTAAAATCAATTGACGGGGAGGAGAATACGGTTTTATTATGAAAACTTTGAGACCGGAAATACTGTTTTCACCCCGTGAGGGTTGACACTAACTTTACATGGACGCTGCCACATACTGTATACACGTTCTCCTGGCAAGACCCCAAATCATCTTCGTAATATCCATCAAACTATAGATCCTACACATCCACTGGACGTGCATTCTGAAAGTACAATATACACTTCTCGCTAGAAATCTAATCAAAAAGCATTTGAATGGCCAAACTATCCTACATTTTAGGATTTTCCAGAGAGGGTTATTTGTGAATATACGACCCTCCGTAGCGTTTGCATTCAACGGGTGCACTAGAGGTAAAAAATATTAAAACGTGATTATCGGTCGTAATAAGCGCTTGAACAATCAACCTATTTGGTCGTATGAGTTGGAGGACTTTTTGAGAGCTCAGCTAGGCTGTGTGGCACACCGATAATATAAACACCATGTGGGAATGCAAACAAACTCCCTCTCTTTCAGAAACCTCTTCTCAAAGGTAAGTTTTCTTGGAGCTAATTCCTTGTACATACAGTACAAGTCAGATTTTGTTTGTGCCCCAGGTCTTTCCAAAAGAATACGGACCAGCCAGTCTATGTGGTAGATAGCCAGCAAGGGGGCTCAAGGGCAATGTCCCCCCCCCCCACCCCAAAGAAGCTGTTAGTAATTATTGCCTATTTTGATATATTTTCCTATCCAATTTCAAATAAGCAGCAAATTATGATGAAGGGCCTTTTTAAAAAAAAAAACTTTTTAGCCAACAGATTCTGTGTTAATATGTTGCTATCTATACTGTGTTAATTGTAACTATCCCTATTCTAGCTGACCAGACCTTTTGATATCAATAACCATCAGACATCATTTATTTTTTAAATTATTGACATAATTACCTTCCTTTTTTTAATAACAAACTCATGGGCAGACACGTGCAAAAATAGGCATCAAAGGGGACTTCAGCAGCTGCCCTTTTGCCCTCCTATAAGAAAATGCCTTTATTCAAATGTATTTGTTTTAATCTATAAATCCATCAAATTGGCTAACATAAATTGTTGGCACATAGTAATAGAATCTTAGCTGTACAGTATCATTATCTTATTATAACATATTATTATTGAATGCCTTTATTGAGAAGGCGATACACTTTAAAGAGGATTTGACAACAGAATGAGGGACAACCATTTTTGAAAATAGCTGTAAAATGTCTCTTGGCAAACTTAACCCTCACGGAAATTAATTGGCACGTCAAAGTGATTAGGACGCTTTAGTACCTGCCAGTGTGGAAGTTTGATTTCTGCTTGAGCCAACATCCTGGCTAAGAGCCTCCCCTTTTTTGATATATGTGTCCTCTGTTTCCTGTCATTCTTTGATATCATTTATCATGTAGATAAGAGCGATAAACAATGCGATTTTGACACTAGAAAAAGTAGAGTCACTAAAACCGCCATTTGCTGTCGGAGCCCCTGCTGTTTCTTAAACCATGACAAATTACTTTCCCTACATTCCTGTTATCTGCAATCAATTGCATCGGGCTACTATAGAAATACATACATACAAACTCAGCAGGGGGTAGATAACTGACTCTGATGCTTTGGGCTTTGTGAGATAAGATTAATTAATAAATTCAACAGATCTCATATTTGATCTAAACTTGAAATGTAATGTACAGTATATGTTGCAAAATGGGTCTTTACCCACAAGGCATTTGCTGACGAAATGAAAGTCCTATCCTGTTTTCCTAAATGTGCTCAGCTTCATGTCGTCATTAGATTGCAACGGAAATTGGATACAAAATTCGACAAGATAGAGCCTACTTTCACAGGATTATTTATTCACAGTTCCTTGCGTTAGCCTCATCCCACAAGAGAGGAATTCTCATACTTTTACATCCTGCATTGGTTGACATTGCCATCTGCAAACAGTGGCTCAAACGATGCCCACACACCTCTGCACATGTGCTTTGGTGTTTAGAATAAGAAGCATTGATATTCAGCAGGACCAGGAAAAATCCCCCTTCACACAATCTCTGTCAGAATCTGGGGGCCATTTCCTCAAATTCTCTCTCTCTCTCTCTCTCTCTTCTCTCTTTCTCTCTTTCTCTCTCTCTCTCTCTCTCTCTCTCTCTCTCTCTCTCTCTCTCTCTCTCTCTCTCTCTCTCTCTCTCTCTCTCTCTCTCTCTCTCTCTCTCTCTCTGTGTGTGCACCTGTTTTATGTTTTTTAGCTATCAACTCTGGAGGTCTTTCGAGGCAGGTTACAGAGTCCAATAGTCAACAGATGCCTTCTTACAGGGTCAAGATAAGCCTCCGGGCTGTGTGTATAGGAGATAAAAAGAGAGAAGAATACCAACAGGAGAGATAAAATATGTTCGTATGAAATCAAAAAAAAAGAACAGACTTTAAAAGAAAAGTTGGAGTGCGTGCACCTGGCTTGAGAGTTGTCTGTTTGGAGAGGCTGAGAATGGATAGGGCAGAGAGGAGAGTTGCCGGAAAATTAAGGTTATCATAGAGTTGTTGCCCAATAATGGCAAATAAACTGCCTTCCCCTGCTGTAATGAACAATAATTGGCAATCATTTTTGATAACAAATAATATCTGTCTTTGTGTCTTTTTTTGTTACAATTTCGAAGGTTATTTTTTTATAATAAACTGCATTGTTTTTTGTTATCCTTAAAAAAATATATATCAGCCAACATGCAGCATGTTAAGATTACATTTTAGGATAACATTTGACCTCAATTGATTAATTAAGCTTGATTACGATAATTATCGTTTGGCTTTATTTCCAAAATATGAATATGATGTGCTTAATCCCAAGAGCATAACATAGGAAAGAACAAAATCAGCATGGAAACAAAAATGTGGCCATCTTATATGTTGTGCCAATGAAACAGTATACACAAGTGAAAGAGCCAGTGTAAGAAGCATTCAAGAAAGTAGACTGTTTATGAAGTGGAAAATGCAATTGGAATAATAATAAAGGCAGTTTGCTCCGTTGTATCAAGAATTGACTGAATTGAAAGGAATTATTTTAGGTGAGTGCCAACATTCTGGAGAATTCAGGAACGGTGTCAAAACTGGCAACAGCCTAGAATCATTATGGCAGCACTTCCTGGTTAATGGTGTATGAAGAGCCTTTGATCGCCTTTCAGAGCCTTTAGCCACCATCACTGCAATGCAGAAAGTAGAACAATGTGTTGAGGCCAGCAAATGACTTGCTAATTATAATTAGCAATATTTTTTTCTTATCTACAAAATGAGTTTAAAATGGCTTCCTTAGTCTGTCTAAACACACACAAAGTAGAATTCAACTCTTACAACTATCAA